AGCAGCAGCAGCAGTAGTGGCAGTGGCAATGGTGGCAGTGGCAATGGTGGCAGTGGTAATGTTGATGGTCATGGCTTTGGCAATGTGGCAGTCGTCGTGGTGGTCGCCGTGGAAGTCGAAATGGGCGTAGCTGCTACCAACTGGAGAAGCAAGCGGTTGCAGATGCTACTAGCTACCTCAGCAGTCAGCAGCTGGCACAAGATAGCTACCAGCTGGCAGCTACAAGCAGCAGCAGCAGCAGCAGCAGCAGCAGTGTTGATGATGTTAAAGCGTATAGTAGTAGGAAGAACAGCAATAGTATGAGTTGATGATCGACAGCATCAGCCCTTGTATCCATCTTGGCTTCGTTGGAAGGGATATCCATGCAGCAAGCCCTTCTTCCAGCAATGCCGAGCTGCAGTAGCATCGAATGCTTGATTGCAGTTCCAAGTGTTCCCAGGCCATGGCAGTTGCCACTACTTCGCGATTACAAGGACATTGTCCTGAAACTATGTGACGGAAGCCAGGACTGCTGAATCGTCACTCGACAGACCCGCATGCTGGCTTCGTGCCTCTCGCACTTCCTAGGAATGGCGTTGAGCTCAGAATGCCCGCGTTCAATCCTGCCAGGTTCTTCTCGGGATTGCCGCAGCAAAGCTTGAGCAGCCTAACGTACTTTCCCAAGTCTGTCAACTGGGGATGAAGCTTCCGGTTTTGCAACTCCACTTCATGGCTTGCTGCAGCTGGTCGACACCGTGTTCGGCATGGTCCGACTGCACAGATCTTGTATCCGCCAATTCGGCTCTTGCACATGCATGCTCATAATGTGGTGAAACTACTGCCCTTGCCTTGCAAATACACCCACGCCTGGACAGCTGAAGTAGCAGAGGCCAACTCCTACAATAACTGGCAGCCACCGGAAAGATGACCGTAAATGGGTATACGTCAGAGAGATTGTGGTAAGATTCGTCCCGTGCAACTGCCACGCATCCATTTCAGGCTTGATGTTCGGATGGAGCTCACTACGGCATTCATGCATGGAGCATATCGCTAGCAACTCTGACACGGCTGAAGCTGATGCAGGTGACCGTGTCCGCTGCCAGCGCGTGGGGAGACATTGCCCGGAGGGCGCGTAGGTCGAGTTGCACACCGCAGTTCGAAACTCAGCGGTTCTCGTGAACAACTTTGGAAGAGGATCCGTGTCTGCGGACCGGCTGAGCTTGGAACAGCAGTGCATTTTACGATGGAATGTGCAGACGAGGCCAAAAAAGCAAACAGAGGAAGTTCGCTCCTTGCTGCTGTACAAAGCGAGCGCGGCTGACGTGAGAGACACGTGCAGCTCAAGCGTGCCAGTCTCCCGACTGTCCGTGAAATAGAAACAGTCGCGCCGAGGAATGCGTCATCCGGCAGCACCTCAAGCCCGCTGGGCTTGCTAAGCTAGGAAACGGTGCTCCGCTCAAACTATCGGCGTAAGCTCGCCCAACCCTCTGAGCCCTCCAATGTCAGCCCTGACTGCTGCAGGGTGGACTGGGATCTTGCCAAGGCACTAAGTCTAAGATACCACAACAGACAAAGATATCATCATACTGTCGACCATTTACCCCGACATTCATGTTTTAGTATTCCCCCCTTGATGGCAACCTCAACAAGATCCCAGTAAAGGCTGGAGTCTGACAGGCCAAGATGTTGCTGCTCAACATCATATCGGTCATGCTAAGCTTTATAGGCTCAGCCCTTCATGCCCTTGGCGACGGGCTAGTCAGACTGCCAGAGCTGGACATTCTTCATCCAACTTTACCGGTATGGGCTGTCTGAACTGTACAAACTGTCGACAGCGGATCCTAGACTAGATAGGCAAACATGATAAAAAAACAACTCATGCTTTGCCAAGACCATGTGGTCCTGCAACAGTTTCTGGATGTTTGGGAGAAACGAGCAATTGCACTTCTTATCCTGCCATCACCACCGAAGGAACAAAGGCAAATCGTGCATCACCCAAAAGGCTTGACCTTGTACCGCTCGACCTTTGATTTGTTCCTAGAAGCCCAACGCCCCGCACACATCAAAACCACCACTTCAATTGGTAGATCGTATGGCCTACGTAGATCCTGAGCTAGCTCTCAGGGACAGGGGCCAAGGTCTGGCTCCTTCTCAACTCGACGGCCATGCATTCGCTATGCGAGCCTTGGTTTCGAGGGGCGGAGGAGTGAGGTCGCAGACAGGGAAACTACGACTACTATACTGCCAAGCTTGCGACTGCTTCAGTCTCTGCTACTACTACTGCTGCTACTGCTACGCTTACTCCGACTCTTACTGCTCCCGGTACTGGTGCCGGCACAGGCACTGCTACGTTGCGACCACCACCAGCAACTGCGCGACGACCATGCACAGGAATGGTGCCAGTAGCAGAATCATCACTGTGACCAGTGTGGCTTGACTTCTTCTCGCTGTTGCTGGTGCGAAACCTTCCGTTCTTAAAGCACCTATTCATGTTGAGGCTATCGACATAATCGTCATCAAAGTCGTTGTCGTCGTCGTAACTATGCGTTTGCTATGTTGCTGTGGTTCTGGTTATGAGTACTGTTACAACTGCCCCTGCGTTTAGATTGACTGTGTTTCCAACTACACCGGCCATCGTCAGTACCATCAAGGCATGCTTACCACAAGTTACTACTAGCACTGGCACCATGCCGATACTCATTTCTCTGAGAAGAACTGGATAACTTGTGCTGTATGACTCTGCTCCAGTTGGCAGCAAAAGAGATGACCCCATGTCACACACTGTTGGAAGTAGATTGTGGAAAGATGTCACACAAATACTCAGCATGCACTGAGAGCGCACGACCATAATTTAAAACAACTGTGCTTGGGCTCCCCAAACAATAGATGTAACGAAACTCTCACGCGGATAGCCTGTTCTCTCTGTTCTCGAGACGACTAAGGCAACGACCAACAGCATGTGGAGAATCTTTAAAGCGCATCACACCAGGCAGTTACCACTGACGCTCTGGGATGCCCCTGTTGCTCCCAAGACATGCCCATCCCGATCCTTACCAAAAAAAGGCTGAAGCCTCCTGAAGTGATGATGCCCACAAGCAAAAAAAAAGATCACAACAACCAAGAAGCAAACAACAACAAGGAGTCTTGTCGCCCTGTTTTGACAAGCGGCTCTAGCTCCACAGGCCGAGGGCGCGCGAGACGACCCGGGCGGAGCTCGCTAGCGAAGTACCTGCCGAGGGTGCTTTTATCCTGAGAGACTGATCTTTGGTCTTTGTTATTCTACATCTGAGTATACGGTATTCATATCAATAGTTACAGTATTCATAGACACACACACACATGTACATATACATATATCCAAGGATATATATATATATGTATGTATACGAGCATTCCTTTATTAAGTTAATTATTTAACGAATTCATCAAGTAAGTACGTAATGCTCAGGAGCTTGCACAGGCACGTGAGCGGGCGATGCGACAGACAAGTCGGTGAGTCATTTACACAAAGCGAGCCAAGAAGGCCAATGCATAAATCAAGAAACAAATTAACATGCAGGTGTCTGCATACATATATATATATATATAAATATGAGTGTATTTGTTTAGTTGTTCATTCCAGTCGTATATGTTATCTACACACCTTACCACCTCATCTTTTTTACTTGATGTCATCTCAGAGTTTCTTTCATTACCTTGTGTGAAATGATCCGCCGATATAATATGATAAATGAGATCATACCATGTATGTAACCCTACCTTTCTTATATTTTTATCACTACTATTATTATTATTGCCATTGTTATGGATATAACTAGAGTTGTGCTTATAATTGCAAACAAGAATATGCATGACACAATAAACGTCTAATCTAACCTATCGATCTATCGATCTATCGCTCTATCTATCTATCTATCTATCTATCTACCTATCTACCTATACCTATCTACCTATCTATCTATCTATCTATCTACCTATCTATATTATCTACTAATGAAATGGCGCTGTGGGTTATAAGATGTTGCAATACGATAAAGTATACAGACACAAGCTAATTATTTCATCTTGAGCTAGCTGCCTATGTATGCCTATGTTGGGCAACATGTTCCACGCTTAGTGTTTTATGATATTCTAATATGTCGTCGTTATATTCCTAAACCATTAGAACCGTACTGCATTAGATCGTGTTGGTCTGGTTTTAAGCCTATTTTGTTGTATGTTTTGTCATGTGATATTGAAAAATAATTGTACGAGTTTGTGCTTCTGTTCCTTCTATTTCACTACACTATACTGCCATGCAGGGTTTGGGGCTTTCTAGCGGCTCGAGGCAAAAGCGTGGTAGAAGCACCTAGAGTCCTATAGAGCTACAGTGGATGAGCCTTTATCCTGTTGCTTGTTGAACATGCCGCCAGTGCGGTGCAAACGCACGTGCGCAAATGCAGTTTTCTGGCTTCGAGTTTAAAGGATATGTGTGAACTCGTCTAATGTTGTCGCTCGGGGGCAAGAAAGGGGGCCACGACATAATCCATGGGACCCCTGGCGCGAGCGCACGTGACCCGGTCACCAAAGCCTCGCGGAGCTGCAGAGATCTCACGATGGCGGACTGCAAAGAGCGATGTCATGAAAGGCCTGCAACGCAGGATGCGGTCTCCACGGGCATGTCTGCCCGCTGCTGCCCACCTGCCGACAATTCTCAAATCTTCTCGCGAGGCTGCTCCTACTATGGAGCGGCAGAGACCTTGCTTTTTCCATCACTGCGAGCGGACTTACACGCCCAAGCGGTCTTCGCCGTCTTCGTGCTTGTGCCCAATGATCTGGGCAGTTTCGACCTTGGTGTTGTTGTTATTCTGCTGTTATGATCAAAGAGGTGCCCCTGCCATACTAAGCCAGAAACCCTATAAACTCTTGCTCCAAACTACCTTCAACACTATGTTAAGAACAAACTAAGGCCTCCACGATGTTATGTAGGTCTGGATCGCTAGAAGCATTGGTCACCTCGTCTGGCACCTGAACTCACATGGCATTGGCACTCTTTAGGGTTTAGGTTTTGCAGGGCGTGAATTCGGGTTGATTACGGCCTATGAAGTCTCAAGACAACCACGGTTGATTGTGTCAGATGACCAGCCACAAAAACAGTAAAGATCTCGATCAAGATGATACCCTCGAAACAAGCTCATCCGCGTAAACCCCATATCATGTCCAGAACTGACCTCGATTGCTAAAGCGTCGTGCCAGGGAGCTGCTTCACAAAAGGCCAGGTGAGGCGTCAAGCGCGGAAAGAGGCTGAGAACGCTAGTGGCCAGGAGTTGAAAAGTGGCAAGGCCTCGTGGCAAAGCTACACCAGCAAGCCCATGAGGCAGTTTTGCGCTTACAGGGCCCTTTCGAAACCTTGGGCCAACCTCTGGGCTTCTGAAACTCCAGGTAGTCTTCCTATCGTTTGCTTGCCCAACAACGCTGTGCCGCCATGGCTCCAGTCAGCAGCATCAGCACATGTTCCCACGAACCACCTGGAAATGCGAACGGTGGCATGTAGAAAAAGCACGGGGGCTAGTCTCAGAGATGACGACAGCAACTGTTGCAATGCTTTCCAGTCAATGCATGCAAAGTGGCCAGATCTGAAGATGACACTAGATGCCATCTGGAACATAAACGACGACGACAAGCCCACCACGTCCAGCATGGCACTGGCGAAGGCGCAGTCGTCGCCATAGAAGAGTGGAAACATGTTCGGGGTGACATAGTACGTCAACCCAACCTCCAATCACATGACTCTAAGAAGAACACGTGCTTCGGAGCCCTGTTGTGGGGATGTCTTCTCCGACAGCATTAACGACCAAACGCGTTCTGCCACGCCAAGCGTCTGAGAGGGCAAGGAGGAAGAAGAGCACCTCAAAGGCAATCAGCTCCGACCAGCCGGAAGAAACGGCCTTCGTGAGCGTGAATGCCGACACCACGGCCAGTATCTGCAGAGTCAGCTCCAATGCGAACTTCGCACATCTCCGCCGAAGGAAGGAGTACAAGGGTGCCTGGGCGTGGGAAACATCGCAGAAAACCATCTCTCATAGAAGACCAAGACTTGAACCTGCGAGCGAGCCTAAACAGGGGCAAGCTGCTGCCAGGAGGAGCGACGTGAAGAGCCCAGCTGGGTAGACGGATGCTGATATGCTGGCATCCTTCACAGCCCAACGCACAACGCACGTAGTAGGTATAGGGCCACCTGGAGACCTTCCTACGAATGCTGTAGGTCCCTTCACAATCAGAATAGGGCCTCGGGGTCGGAAATAGCTTATAAATATAACAAGGAAGCCTAAGGAAGAGTAGTGGTTAAGACCCCTCCTATAGGGACGCAACAGACATGCGCTTCGTTCTCTGAGGCTGCGTCCGCAGGGCTCAAGCGCAAGGCATCCTGCAGGATGAGTGGGGCATCGTTTTCCGCGCCATGCGCGATGCTGTAGCAGCCAATGACCTCTGCAACAACTCTGTGAGAGCAGGGTCATACGACCGCTCGTAAGCCGATCTGTGTGTTGACTATGGTGCGCCCAGCTTGGTTTCCGAAGCTGCACCCAAGGCCAAATGGTTGCTCCTTGCGTTCTTGACTGTGGCTTGGTGGCCGAGCGGCAATGCAGAAGTAGAGGAGCATGCTCGGGTTGCAGGTGATGTGCAGCACGCGCTCGCACCAGGGCCTCGTAGTGTAACCTTGGGAAGGCCTCTGTGGAGTCATTCGCTCTAGAGGTATGAACCATAGGCAGATGTACCGCAGAAGGACCATGGCCACACCAGTGCTCCATGCGATGGACTGCCAGTGCATGACCTGACGCATACTCTGGCACTGACCCTTCTAAATCCGCTATCACTCCCAAAGAAGAGTCCGTCTGAACCCCTTTTTGGACAATCCCATAAGCTTGGCCCCAAGTGACCTTCAGGAGGCTCCCCAAAGCCAACTTCGAGAGCGCAGAGCCAGCCCTCGATCCGACCCCCACCACGGCGAAGCACCAGCTCCACAATTCCGGCTCGAAGTGCTGCTCCATCAGCCTCAAGGAGGCGAAAAAAAAAACAAAATCGGGCCCAGGGCTGACTAAACCCTAAGCCCTAAATCTCTAAACCCTAAACCCTAAATCTCTAAACCCTTAACGCCCTGAATCCTAAAGCGTATTATTCTAAGGTTGATATTTCGGGCTTGGGCTTCAGGGCTCAGGATCCAAAGGGGGACTCAAAAGAGCTTCGGAGACCAAAACTGCCGAGCCGCTTGCAGGCCGAGAGCCAGCCGCCAGCCGCACAGAGCTGGAGGATGACGTAGCCTGCTGGAGCAGAGCTATGTAGGGTTTTTGGGCTAGGGTTTTTTTTTTTTGAACGCCTTTTTCCGTCTCGCCAATCTTGGGCTAGGGTTTAGGGTTTAGGGTTTAGGTAGGGGTTATAAGGGTCTAGCTTAGGCAACTTGTTGTTGTGGTGCCATACTTGTAGGATCTTGTACGGCTTTTAGCGGGACCTATTGAAGTCTACTTTTAGGACCTTTCTGGGGACCTTTCTGGGGTGTTAGCGGACTTCTCTTGGTCATAGGTTATGAGCATATAATCGGAAGGCCTCAACCAAGCTCCTTAAATGGAACCCAGTGGCCGACCAGCGCCATCGTCAGTCCAGTTCCGAAGATACCGGCCCCTATCACCATCAAGAACATCGACACGGAGAGGAAGCGCCCTTGGTACCAGTCTCGAATCTGTACGCCCATAAGCTGTCACAATGAGATGCTGCTGTATGGCAGCATACAGCGAAACTGAACTGTTTTCCTACATCTGTATCGTATACACACTTTTTGATTTTGAGTTACATACATGTAGACAAATATGTTGGGCAATGAAGTACTTTATTAGCCCTGCAACCTTCGTGGAGGGACTAGGCAGGAGTCAGATGAGTGTTTGGAGCACCAACCAATGTCTGTGGAGCGATAGGAATGAAGAGTAACCTGCCTTTGTCGGCCGGAATGCTTTCTTTCCAAGAGACCAGAGGATGCAAAGGATTAAACAAATTAAGCCCTCATCGGCACTGCGCCGATAGATGTATGCAGCCGAGCAGCGTGCGCCATATCGGTCGATCAGGACTCCGCCAGCAAACTTCCCCACGCCGTTTAGCGCGGTGCCCGCCGCTAGAACGTAAGTGATCGTGGAATCGTCTAGCGCCTGTGCAAGAGGTCTACGTACGAAGGCGCTGGATCTATGAATACAGTCTACCCAGCTCCCTCGCACCAACTACCTATTTGCTGCTTGCATTCAAACGAGGCAGAAAGAAGAGTCTGCCCCGGCACCCACTCGAGGCGTATAGCCGTCAACATTGATGAGGGCATCGCCAAGACAAACCTGTTCGGCACCGGCAGCTTCACAACACCCTGCCAAGCTTCTTCGGCAACCCCAAATCCCAGAGAACACTGATAGCACAATTTTCGCCTCATTTTCTTTAGGAGCCAGGAGGCTGCTCACTTAGGAGAGGAAGGCAAACGGCCACATAGCGTGAGATCCGGCAGGCGCGGCGGGGCGCTTTATCCGCCGACTTTGCGACGACCTCGAAGCTCATCAGGAATGCAGGACCACGCGGCCCTAAGATGAGGAAAAGCGCGCGGGTGCTCTTACGGTGGTCCAAAGCAGGTCCCGTTAGTGCTCGAATAAATGATTCTCGGTTTGAGGCGGCTCAATGACCCTTCCGGGCAGTCGATGCCGATTTGCTTCTTGTCCAGGCGTGGTCGGCACTATGCAGGGGGCGAGGGTTTAAGTCAGAAGTGCTGGCTACAAGCAAACCACTATGCTGTACAGGTCCTGCCACTTGTGGGCAGACCAAGGCAGTGAGCTGAGCCAGGAGCAAGCCAATGCTGTAGGCTCGATCAGGTGATAAGACCCTACCCGCCAAATCGCTGCAAAGCCAGCTCGGCAAACCTTCCCCTGAACATGCACGATCCTTTCGGGAACACTGCCATATGGTAGTTTCAGAAACTTGGAGATCATGAAAAGGAGTCCTAGAGTCCTAGATAAGACACCCCCGACTAGAAGGGCCTTGATGATTCCAATCGGGTTTGGGGGGGTTTTTGTATCGCAATTTGCTTCCAGCAAGGAGGCTCCAGGAGCAGTACGACTAAATAGTCAGGTTTTATCCCAAACCAAGTTTTCAAACCCGCCCTTGTTGATTTACAAGGAGCCGCCCTGAACCGCAAGCCTGTGCTGCAAGCTGTCGATGGAGTTGACACACCACAGGCCTCTCCTGATCTGTGACGAGACCATGTGTTGCTCTTCTGTTGCTGTTGGGAGGGGGTGTTCTATGGTGTTCTTTCCATCAGTGTTCTCCTGACCTTGTTTTCAGGGATAGGTATAGGGTAGCGCTCTCCTCTTGCATGTACACGAACCTAAAACCGCAGACTGCCACGAATGTAAGACACCTACGCTGCCCTGCACTGAAGCCCCAACTTCCCAAATCCTATAAACCCACACCACATTCTTCACGGGCAATGTGGTAGCAGAGACGATTCCCGAAGGTCGGGCTGGTACGTGGAATGGAATGGACCCTGCCGCGCCTCCTTAAGTGAAATGTTCAAGTGTTGGAATAAATGAGAGCCCAAATCGGACGAAATACTGCCAGAAGACACTCATCATGATCCTGCAAGCCGGCAATAAGGAGGGTCTCTGTTGATCCTTCTTGGAGTTGCTGTGTGAGTGAGTGAGTGAGTGAGTGAGTGAGTGAGTGAGTGAGTGAGTGAGTGAGGGAAGGAAAGGCTTGGGCACATAGAACTCACAAGACCTGAAAAGCAGTTCACAATGATTTATGTAAGAGTCTACAAAAGGGTCCCCTGTTTTCTGAAACCCCCAACCCACAAAATGCACTACTTGCAGGCTCTGTCCTTCGACCGCCACCTTCCAAAGGCAACACATTCTTAAGAGAGGATGGCTAGCAGTCAGACAGCTCAGCTTTTCGGGCTGATATGGTTTAGCCGGTGGCCGTGTCCAGCGGAGAATTACAATCCAAGCAATCAGTCGAGACGAAGACGTAAGCGTCGTCCTACCAGAAGATCCCCCGCCTTCTGTGATGGAGGCACCTTTAGCCTGCAGGCCAAGTGTCCAGAAACTGGTGACAGCTTACGGAGACTGACCTGCATGGTACACAGACCGACCTGGCGCAGGGACTCGAGTGGATTGCCCCAGGGAGGAAGTCGACCTCCTGGTCCACTGCACGCGTGACATGGCAATTTCGGAAGATGGGGAAGCCCTGAGGTTGCAGCCACAGAAAATTCTAAAGACGTCCCAGGAAGGTACCGGAATTTGCAGAAACCCAGATTGGACTGACAATGACTGACAAGAACCCGATATCAAGCGCCTTGAGAGCATATTGGATGGCATATCGCGCCCACGACATGCCAACACAGCGATTGTGAGGATGCGAATCGTACGGGTCACTGCTGACAATGGGTAGGGTATACAACTACTACATCAATATAGCTATCACACTCGATCCATGTAACCCTGAACCCTATAATACCCTATAATACCCTATAATGCCCTATAATATCCTATAATACCCTATAATACCCTATAAGGTAACATCATATGTAGTAACCGTAGCGGCGGTGATGGGCGGCGCTCCTCAAGCGGAGACTGCCGCTCGGCTGTCTCACTGGCTCTGCGGTCTGGCCTGTGGCCGACAGGAAACGGGCGACGTTAAAAGGGCACTAATCCTTTCTTCCTAACATTAAACCGGGGACAAATCTCGAAAAGCTTGAATTCACTCTAACGGTTTAGGGTTTAGGGTCACGGCAATTCTGATGATTAGCCATTCCACCTTCGATCGGCCTCCTGCTGATGCGTCTCTGTCCTAAACAGCTAAACCCATAAAGCCCTAAACCCTAAAACCCTAAACTTTCCTAAACCCGAACACCCTAAACCCCATGGAAGCAGCTGGGGGCACAGCTTGCTGGCCTTCCGCAAGAGGCTCCAGCCCTGCAAGCAAGCGCCCTTTGAAAAGAGGCCCAACAGCAGCATCCAAGAATAACTTGGCCAAACTTGGGAGCTGGTTTATGTTTGTTTTGTTCCGGCCCTGTTCTGCTCTGCTCTGCGTGGAAGTTGGTTTAGGGCTCAGGGTCTTCAGGATTAGGGGACTTTCGGACCCCGGAAATGGTTGGGAGTTCGACAACGCCAGGGTCTGGGATGCAGGGCTTCGGGGGGTTCTTCTCTCTGCAGAGGCCGCGTCTGCAACGTCCTACGCTTCATCCCGAGGCCCCCCGAGCAAGAATGCCACCGTAACATGCGGGACGGAATAACTAAGGTCCCTGAACTTTGTAGTTCGGCGCAGGAGTGCGAGCTCAAAAAAGCAAGCCGTTGGCGCTCAGATGGTTTTTATCTTGGGACAAGATGAATGAAAAACCTAAAAACCCACTCACATAGGAGCACGGCCCCTGAAATGTAGGAACACACGCCATCCTAATTTTTCCAGGCCCCCATTGACACTGGAGCCCTGGCCTTGTTCGGCTCCGCGTCGCTAAGACGGCTGAGGGAATGGGAGCTTCTCCTGAACGATGCATCACGGCAGCCTATGGGAGGTTGAAACGAAATCTAGAGTTCCCTCGTTTGTTGCTGCTGACAATTTGGATCCTACCATCTCCGCTCTCTACTTTAAGTCTCTGTTCTCTGAACCCCCCCGGCCGCCCCGCGCCCGCCCCGTCACATGGGTGATGCTGCCCTTGCCCTGATCCCAGCCTGGGCTTCCTGGGGATCACAGAGAAAGTCCGACTCCTTGGGCTCAGGGGTTCTGGAGCTTCCTGGTTGCTTCTACCCTGGCTCCTCTGGCTTAGGGCACTACCCGGCTAAGGGGGCCTTGAATGCTTAAGGATCGAGGCTGGTTTTGGGCCTAAGCCTATATACAACTCCCCCCTCCCCCTCAGAGACAGCTATAGGAATTTCCTGGATCCAGATGCAAACTGCTGGACAGCCTCTTCGGGTTTCGGCTCGAACGTCGATTGATACCGCTTAGCAGCATCATCCGCAATTGCCACGGATGGTACATTATGTCCGGTGATGGCAGTTTGGGCGTCATTTTCAGGTGCACTCTGACGGCCCCGGCTTCAGCAACGAAGGCAGTGTGAAGAGCGACATGGCTAATCCCGCCAGGCGGAGCGCAGTGTGATGGCAGAAAGGTTAACAGCATGTTCTTGTTACAGTAGTGGGCTCATCTCTTTTGGTGTCCCGTTTAGGGTTTGGGGTTTCTGGCATCTGTGCTTTGGGGGCCACTGTTCACCATCATGCACTTCCGGAAATCAAAGCAAACTCATGGAGAGAAAGACTCCTCAACTAGCATCTCATGGGTTGATGCGTGGGTCTGCATCCTTCGTCTGTGAAACATGCGGGGATTACAAATCTTCGATCCAAGCCCGCACGGTGCATATTTCCTACATCCGTTACATCCATGTTGCAAGTCTTGCCACCAGCACTGTCCTCATGATCAACACTACTAGTAGCAGCCTTACTACTGCTCCTGGAATTTGCTGGTGCAGCGGCCACCTTTTGCTGATTCGGGCAATGCCCGTTTAGCATGTCAGCCTTTGGTCGTGATCATGATTGCTTGCTACTGCTAGCTACTGCTGCTGCTGCTGCTGCTGCTACTACTACTACTACTGCTACTGCTACTGCTACTGCTACTGCTACTGCTACTACCATTACTACTACTACTACTCCTCCTCCTCCTCCTCCTCCTGCTGCTGCTGCTGCTCCTGCTACTGCTACTGCTACTGCTACTGCTACTGCTGCTATTCCTACTACTACTACTACTACTACTACTACTGCTTCTACTTCTAGTGCGTACCCCTGCTGCTGCTACTACATACTACACCAATACTGCTACTACACCACAACTAGTAACTACTATGCCTACTATACTGGCACTACCGGTACTGCATGCGCACTTTAGCTACTGCTGCTGCTACTGCTACTGCAGTCATTGACTTCTCCGGAGCTGCCCCACTTCATAGTTGTAGTTTGTAGGCCAACTGATATCTCGTGCCGGCCCGAGCTGGTCAACCGGCACGCGCCATCAGCAGCCACGAGCGAGTCTGTGCAACTATGTGAGCCTCATGGCTAGCGCTGTGCTGTGCCTCTGGAACACACTGCGCTTCAAGTAGAGGCTCGGAAATATCACAAATCCCATGGCCGAGTGCAGAAATCAGAGATCTATAGTCCCAACCCCCGAACAGCTTAACTCTCTCCCCTCACTCTGAAGCCCTAAACTCCCAAGCCCAAAATCAGAAAACAACTCCAGCTCCCACACTCCTGAAATCTTCAACGCCCTTAAACTTGAAAGGCGCGGACTTCTTTTCGCACAGGAATGCCCGAGACCGAGCGCATCTTAAGAATTGCTTCTGGCCGCAGGTCATCCACGAGGCGAGAGAACACCTGCGCCATCTCAAAGCTTGCTCATGCTCTTGCCTTCACGAACATTGCTCGAGTTATGAGTACTACTCGTGTTTCCTCTATGGATGTGTTGTTAAGTCTCGTAGCCTTGTTACTGTTAAGAATAATAAGTCATTGCAAGCAGATGCTGACTTGGCTTGGTGTTGCATGGGGTGATGGGTCGCAAGTCCGCGCGTGTGTAGTATGTCAAAAAATGTTGGTGTACATCGCATTACATAAGTTCCGGGAGAAGACGACGCAAACACATTGGAACACATTGAATTCAAGAAGCCTGTCCCCAGCCTGACGTTGGCCAGTGTCACCACGGGCTGCGACCATGATCACTGTAGCCCAAGCCGCCTCATCCGGATCGATCTTCTTCAGCCGCATTTGCTCGAAGAGGCCAAGTGCCACGTCGCCAGCCTCGCCGAGACAGGCACGCAGTGCAGCTCCATAGGTGGGCGCATCTGCCTGGTAGGAGGACACCAAGCAAAAGGCAAGCTGCCAAAGCCCTTGACCAGCAGAGGTGACCACAGCATTCAGAGTAGGAGACCCGTCTGACAATCCGACGGCCGAGGTTGCATGCCAGAGTTCCAACCCACAGGCCCACGCCTTCGCACGAGCGCACCCGGTCAGTGCAGAGCTGTACGCAGCAATGTTTGCCTCGAGCTTCCAGGAGCCCAAGGGTTTCAGGAGCTCCAGGCAGTCAATCGCGTGTGGCCACAGGAGACTGCGTCCCAAGGCTTCCACGGCAGCGTTGGCGCCAGCTTGAGCCTCCTTGTCTCTGACTCCAAGAGCTTGCGAAGAAAAAAGCACCTCCTGGGCCTTGAGCCACTGAGCGCCTGATGCGCACGCAGACACCAGAGAGTTGTAAACCACGGAGTTTACACGCAGCCAGTCGTGCAAGTCTCTCCGAACCACGGAGACAGCTTGCTCCCAACGCACGTGGCTGTCACAGGAGCTGACGGCCGCTGAGACCATGAAGCTGTTTGATTGTAGGCCAAAAGTTGACACCTGAAGACACGTGTGGGCAGGCAAGCAAGCGGGCAGGCAGGCAGGTCGGTAGGTCGGTAGGAAGATATGCATGCATGCGTGCATGCATGCAAACCAGTTATTATACGCACAATGTCACGATGACACAAGCCTCCAAACCTGCGTGTTAACATATGCCAGAACATAAATGTGATGAACAAAAAATTTTATTTCGAACATCCCCACCCTACAGATAATGCATTTGGGGGCCACACGACTGACTGGCATTACGGTCGTGGGGTCCTTGGTCACGTAACAAAACACAAGTTTTCCATTCAGGTCATTCGACGAACCATGGGGTCACACCACCATGCGGACGTGGGCCCCCGTACACGGAGCAAAACACGCGCTCGATTCAGGTCAGTCGACGATCCATTGGGGCACACCACTGACTGGCGTTGAGGTCCTGGCATCCCCGGGTTGGGCACTCCAGAAAGTCTCACGGCAGTCTTTGGGGTTGGGCACTCCAGGGAGTCTCACGGTAGTCTCTCGGGTCTCCAGGCAGTCTCTGGAGGTCCACACCGAGGGTGGGGAATAAATAAATAGATAGATAAATCAATGTAAATTAAAACATAAAGATATATACATATATACATATATATACATACATATGTATGTATGTATGTATGTATGTATGTATGTATGTATGAATGTATGTATGTATGTATGCATGTATTCTATATACACGGGGCGAAAGGTACCCGAACAGATCCTACTATCGCCTGAGTCATGAATGCCAGGCTTTGCTTCCATCCATCACTGCCGGAGGCTGCGGCGGTCAATGCGGACGTTGCGTGGATCGAGTTGGCCCGAAGTGCCCGGTGCTGGATGTTTTGCAAGCATTGCAAAGCCTCTTGCCATTGGCTGGCGTGAGCTAGTGTAGACAAGAAGATCCCCCAGGTGGTCTCATCCGGCACGACTTGCAAAGCCAAGCTTAGGGCGGCTTCCCAGCCAGAAATCTGCTCGCAGCTCGAAGCGGCCGCATTGCAGGTGATTACGTTAATTCGGAGCGAGGAGTGCCGCAGCCGGGCCAACTGCTCCAGGCTGAAACTCCACGGAGTGGTCTCTCCACCCACAAGGGACCCGGCCACCACGATGTTCGTCTCAACTCCTTGCGTTGCTGCGGTCTGCAGGACGGATAATCCTTTGGCCCAGGCCAACCCCGATGCCACGGCAGCTCCGTAGCTGAAGTGGTCTGCATTGAAGCGTCGTAGTTGCATGTCCCTGACCACCGAAAGACTGCAAGCCCACATTCCTCCCATGCCACATGCCGAGGCAGCCACATTGAAAAACACTTGATTCGGTAGAAGCGCTTCTGGCCGGTTGTTAAGCAGCTGGAGGGCAAGTTGCCAAGATGCCTGACGAGAAGCGGAGCTCAATAAGGATGTCCACACGGCTGGTGATGGGCGTAAGTCTCCTGTGTCCACAGCTTGCAGAGCCTGCTGCCACCTTTCACTGTCAATCAGAATGCGTTCCTCGGCCATGCCCTTCCAGGGCCAACTCAGACTTGAGCGGGTCGTGATTCATCACCAGCTCACGCTTGCTTCGGATAAGGCTGTAGTGAAGTGTGAATTCAGACAGGAACACTTCCGCACATCCGCAGACACCATGCTTGGTGCCTTGCGGCGTCTCACAGCTGGCCGGAAGCGCAAGGACACGCAGGCAGGCGACGCCAGTGACCATCGCCAGCCCAAACCTTTCAGAACAAACAGGGGGACCCCTTGGGCCATTCTGTAGAGCCCTCTGCCATGAGAAGACCCATGTGTCAAGGTGAGATTGCCGTCAACTGCAGCCCCTTCTCCTGTCGACCTTTTTCACTCCGATCTTCCGACCCTTCGCTCAACCCCAGCCTGGCCGACCTGAAACAGCAGCTGTTCTCTGGATGCTTAGATTCGGCTTACGACATAAGGATTTTGAAGATTCCATCCCGGGCTCCTTGCTTCGGAAGCCAAGGTAAGCATGGGACACGGGAACATCTGAAAGGCATCTTCAAAACGTCAGCATCTCTGGTACTGAGGGTCTTGCTTGTGTCCCGGCTTGCCTTCTCACTGCGACGAGGGGGCTTCGGGTTCGACGCGCAGGCACGGACAACCTTTAATGGCCCTTCAACCGGACTCTCATTATCACCTTCTGCAAGACTGTGGGCAGCTTTAAAGCAGCATGCTTCATAAGCTGAAAAGCGTCAACAAGCCCCGCTCCCCTGCAACTGGCACGAGGATCAGCAGCAATGCTTGGCGGACAAACGTGCAGTGAGCCTCGTTGCCCGGCCACTGTCCTCCAAATCTCAATGTAGGGCCCCTAAAGATGGGTTCAGGGTTTAGGGTTTGGTTTTGGGCTTCTGTATTGAAACAGCAACAGTAAATTCTTCAAGAAGAGGGGCCACTAAGAATTGCTGATGATTCCGATCCCCATCTCAATATTGTTAATGGCATCGTCATCAGATGCTAAGTTCCTGTCTCGATGGATCTCATCTTGCCAAATCCCAGGCTAATAATCGTGATAATTGCACATTTAAAGCAGCAAGAAAGGCAAACAAACGCGAAGCCACCATAGAAAAAACGAAAACCAGTCCCAAAATGCAAAACAACTGTAACAATATGAATGAGACGTTGGACCCTCATACAGGATAGACTCAACTGCATCCCGCTTGGGCAGACTCGGTCCTGTCGTCCCGGTCGGCGCCCCGACCTCCTGGGAAGGGCTTTCACTGAACCTTGCTTGACATTAACAGCGACGGGCTGCTAGCCTGAGAGGGCTCATGCTCCTATTCCTCTGAAGACAAAGGAAGCAGCAAATGAAGTAGCCAGACCGGTCGAGCAAATCCAACAGATCCGCGAACACATGGTTGAGCTACAGGAATTCATCACCTGATTCGAAGGGCTGGAAAACGTGTTGGGATGGTTGACGTACTCAAATCGCACAGCCACAGGGAGGTGACGATTAAGCATGCAAACTCGAAGCGGTGGCCAAGTCTTAGCAAGACGGAGCTGTCCTGAAGTCATCAAGCTGACTCTGGAGCCTGAAGCCATCTTCGAAAGCTTTGCAGCTCGAGGAATGGGATGGTTCAGATTCGGTTCCCTTGTCCTTGCAGAACCTTGCGGACAACTATCCAACGGGAGCCTATTCAGGACCCGGGCAATCCCCACGCAAACCAGAGTTTCAGCTGGCAGTCATGCTGAAGCTGATGACTTTTCACTTCGGGCGTGGTACAGGCCGCCAAATCGCCCTAAACCCTCCGTACCCCTAAAGCCCTACAGCCTAAAGCCATGCAAGCTGACCGCAAAAGCCCGTGCCCCAAACCCGTAACCCCTTATCATCCCTTGTAGAACCCATATAATTGCTTGTAGAAACCCTCATAAGAGCTTTATAGAAACTCTTATAGAACAAACCCTGACAGAAACCCTTATACACCTTGATCTGGACGCTCCAGGAACCGCACTCGTCGGCAACATCGGTCTGCTCGCAGTCACGGCACCTTGGGACGTGGAGGGCCTGTGGTAGGGGCCCTTCAGGATTTGACCAGGGCATGGTGTAGATTCTGTACTATATTCAAGCAGTAGCTAGCTGGACCTCGAAAGTAAAGATCCGGGCCGCTAGCCTAAACCCTAAACCCTAAACCCTGAACCCTAAACCCTAAACCCTAAACCCTGAACCCTAAACCCTAAACCCTAAACCCTAAACCCTAGACCATAAACCCTAGCTTCGATGACAGTTTGAGGAATCAGGGCCCGGAAATCCGTGTCATCCTCGGCTCCCAGCCCTCCTCTCAGCGCAGCTCTCGAGATCTAAGAGGCCCACGCCAGGATCGCAGAAATCATCCTCTGAGGGTTCGGCGTCTTTCAGCCGGCTTGCTTAGGGTTTAGGGGCTTAGGGTTTAAGGTTTAGGGTTTAGGGCTTATAAGGTTGAGGGCTTAAGGTTTAGGGTTTAGTTAGGGCTTAAGGTTTAGGTTTCGCCCCCGGGTTTGACTCACTGAGCTCCGAGGTGCTGAGTGCGGTATGGGCACGGATGACGGGCCCCGGAAGTGACTCACAAGCTTTTCAAGCAGCACAGCTTCGCAGTGATGTAGTGCGGTCAAGCATCGTGTTCTCGTCTGGAATGATGTCATCTTCCTGCATCTGCCGCAGCAGCTGCACTGCCTGATGTAGGATCAACTGCATTTCACAAGCTTGATGCCTCCATGAATCGCTTCCGCTGCCTGGGCCCACTGAGTCCCAACTTGGCAAGCAGCGATGGCGGCACCTTAAGCAGAAGCTGCGACGATTCGAGGGCCGCAGTGTGCAAAGTTGTAGTGCTAAGCCTCCAACTGTAGGCTATGCCATCTAACCTCATTCTCCGCCGCCTCCGAAGCGTTGCGAAGCGGTCTGAGCCTAAAGAAGGCTAAATAGTCTTCATCGCAACCAGCATCCGTCCTCGCATCACCTAGGAGCTTCAAGGACTTCTCCCAGTGACCACCTGGCACATGAGACACAAAGCAGGATGAGCCTGAGCCCTTAAACCCTAAACTTATAGTCATGGCAACGTACATTACAAACTGTGTCACTCGAAAGGGTTGGACTGCAGGCACTGTGCCAAGGGTCAAGTGTAGCAGGGTCGGCTCTTGCCGCAGGCACTGATGGCCCCACTGATGGAGACCTCACTTCAACCCGCTGGCCACCGAAAGCAGCTCGGGCTTAGGTCTTTTCATCCGGGCCCGTTGAGAGCAGCCAAACCGCCAAACGTGTTCGATGACCCCCCCAGCCACCGACCCTCAGCCTAACGAAACTCTGAACTGGAACCTCCAAGCCGCAAAAATAAACCAAAAAGCAGGACCCGACCCCCTTATATAAGACTCTGAAACCTAGCCACATTATAGACCCCTATATAAACATATAAACATGAGCCTGCAAATGTCCCAATGTAATACTCTAACTTCCCTGAAAACCCCCGTGGAGAGTCCCGAGGTTCCTGGCCAAATCCGGATGCAGGGAACCCCTGTCCGCCTGGCTTCGGGTAAATGAGGGTCCCTTTCATGCTTGCTGAAAGGGATCTCCAATGGCTCCAAGGGTTTCTGAAGGGTTTCGATAAGGGTACTACAGTTTGGGTTCTCTAAGGCCTCTCCGATTCTCCGATGGAAAGCGGTGGCGACCGCGTGCCAGGGGCTAACGATATTTCAGGGTTCGGGGCTTTGGGGATTTCAGGTTTTCAGTGTGTGTGGAGTCAGTACCTACATACGCTTCTATGTGTTTGCGTNNCCTACGCTTTTACACCATTTCTAAAAGCCACGTCCTAAAACCAACCTTATACCAAAACCCCTAAACCATAGCAACCTGCCATATCCTTTACCTTAACCATAATACAACCAATAACCTAACCACGAACTGGGAAATGCCCCCCTAATCCAAAACCTCCCTAAAGCCTATAACCCTGAACTGGGAAATGATAGAGAGTAGGAACTCTCCAAGCTTCGCAACCACTACATAGGATTTTACTAAATAATATTAGTAAAATGCTATTCATTGTTTATCCGTTCATTATTGTATAAAGTTTTGCTAAACCCTTTTGTTCTTCTCTCTCCTTTTCTTGTTTCATAATGTCTATTGTTCTTGTATCCACAATTTCAACAATCATCTTTCCGTTCCTTACATAAATCGTTGTGAAACAGTTATTTTCAATGTATGGCACACCAGTTAAGGCATCCATAACTTCGTCTTTTACAAAGTTCAAGTCATCATTAACTTTGATTAGTTGTTGTTTGCTTTTGTATCCTGATGCTTCCTCCATTAATATATATGTTCTCAATTATTCAAATGTTTTTTGTAAAAAACACAATGTATATTATACGGAAATTCAAGCATATTCTCTCTTGAATTCATCAAATTTAACATCGTAATAATCTAAAGTTTGTTGCTTAGGTTCTTTTATCTCACAATTGTTTAGTTTATTGACATATACATTTCTCTTTTTTGTATGTCTCGCTATTTTTTATCTAATGGTTCATTCTACTGTTTAGGTTTTCCTTTAAACTATCAATCTTTTTATTAGTTCTAACTTATCCAATATCTTTTGAAAGCGTGTTGCCTTAACCTCTTTTACATCATCTTCTGCGCTCATATATCTATACAAAAGTTTTAGAAAAAGTTTTTATAGTAAAAGTATTTTAAAACCTGATTAAATTAATTGATATTTTGCAAAAAACTATAATATCAATTTTCAAAAGAATTCGGATACTATCTTTTGTAGCATCAATTATGCCATTGTTTCACGATACTTTCCCCTTTCTCGTGTTCAATAGCAAGGAAAGGCAACGCACACTAGGCACCGGTCAGGGGGCAATATTCCGATTTTACAAAGTAAAAAAACCCGTGGTTTTTTTCTGTCAAATTAATGTCTAATTATCTCTTTAAATATTAACCCATACTACTCAAATTATTCGTTTTTGATATATCAATTTCTTTTCTTCTTTCTTCTACATCCGTCTCTAATTTAAATATCCTTTCTAGGTTTTCTTCAGGTGTGGGTCTTCTACCTTCAGCCCATCCGGTCGTGCATTCTTCAATGCTTCCTGCCTGTAATGAACTTTCAGGTTTAAATATTTCATCAGGTGATTGATGTCGACCATTACCTCCAAATTTAAAATTTCTTCTATCTTCAACGGTGTTAGTTGTGACTTTTTCACCTTCGTTTACTGTTTTACTTTCTTTATGATGGAATTGTCTTTTGCATCTGCAAGGAATACAATGAACACCCTTTTTTTATCCACGTGAAAACCTTTTGCTTTGTCATCACTAATGGGTTCTGATGTATCGCTCATTTATTTTACTTAGATTTCTTAATATTTTTCACATAATTTATTAATACTTTACATATTTCTAACACATTATAGCAACAGCGCCTATATCTCGGCGTCGTTACTATAATTTGTTCTATTTCTTCATTATTATCTATTATGTCAATATAGTTTATATCCTTCATATTTTTTTACCTACAAATTAATCTAACTATTAGTAATGAGTAACATGCCGCTTCCGGTGTCAAGAACGCTTCGTTGAGCTACCCGAGGTGTTTGTGGATTTTGTTGCTGTGGTTTGTTGCCAAGTAAGGTCGTCGGACTAAATGTGTGAGAATAGGGACATACTTGGCGACGTTGGTTTGGGATTATTGAGGATTGTAGAATGGATGAGGTCCGGGATCTCGTAGGTGGCATAGGTGGCTTTGGTTTGGAGTTGTTGGGGATTGTAGAATGGATGGGGGTGGGTAGATGGTAGGTGTCGTTGGTTTGGGGTTGTTGGGGATTGTAGAATGGATTAGATGATGTATTTCGTAGGCGCTTTTGGTTTGGGTTGTATCAGGAAGGGTTGAGATGTTAGGCTGGGGGTACAGGTGTAGGTTGCGGTATGAACTGGGAAATGACCCTCCCTAGCTGGGGGGTCCCTTTTTATTCTAGGCTTCCTCAAAGGGATCTACAAAAAAGGTTCACTTCTCGGCTTCCTCAAAGGGATCTACAAGGGTTTCTACAGTTAGGGTTTCCATGAGGGGACTACAATGAGGGTTCTACTATAGGGTTTCTCCCATAGAAAGCGGTGGCGACCCGGCCCCAGGGGCTGAGGATGTCTCAGGGCTCGGGGCTTTTGGGGTTTGGCGTCTTCAGTGCGTGGAGTCGTGAGGTTAACAGGCCGAATGTCCTACATAATGTATTCTAGCACTAGCATGGACGATTGATGAGATTTGGAATCCATTTCTCTGCGTACATTTCTATATGGGTCTTTGTGTTTGTATCTGCATGTACATATGGTTTCATGGGTTGAATGTGTGTTACATATCTGCGTAGTTCGACGAGAAGTTCCGTGTGCGAGTGGGTGTGTATATAAGTACCTACATACGCTTCCATGTGTTTGCCTCTGTGTGTGTGTGCCGAGTGAGCATGAGCACTTCCGAGACCAAAAGCCAGCGGTGTGTGCATACAGCAAGACATGCGCAAGTGAATCTTCATGTCAATGTTAATGTGTCTGTTCGACATTCAAACGTCTGGTATATGTGTATACATTTATTTATTTATTTATTTATATGTGTGTGTGTGTATTTGAGTACTGTCTGCTGCATCTGAGGACATAACTTGGTATGGCATTAGGTCACATCATGGTGCAGGACATGATACATTTCCTTCTGCCACCTCCTTCTCATGAAAGCTCGAGGCCAGCTGCGGTTTGGTGGAGTCGGGGGATAAACCTCTCTCAGGGTTTAGGGTTTTGTTACTTTTCGGCGGGTTTACGGCATCAATGCTGCTTTTTTCAAGGGTTAGGGAACAAGGATTTTGGGACTCTCGCAAACAGGACTTGCGCCTCCTTTAGGAAGGACAGGGCTTGTTCCCATTCTCCAGCCTGCAAACACAAGGCACACCGCAAGGCACACCGCGGGGCCCAAATACGTGGGCCAAGACTTGCCAGGCCTTCTCACTGGTGCTGATGACCTTCAGGGTTTTGTATTCAGGCTCCGGGAGGTTAAGCCAGGTTAAGCCGGAAACCTGAAACTTGCTGGGGCGCCGGCGGAGTTCATGATGACTAAGTCTGGCTGCATTCCGCTGAGCCTCATCTTCTCTAAGAACCTGCCCGGGCTTTCCAAGCCGAAGACCAACAATTGCCCAGCACAGGGGTAGCTCTCTAAATTAGGGACCCTTTTTGGGGTGTCCCCAATATAGCACGGCACCCGTAACAATTGGACCCCAAAAGGGACCCTATTTTAGAGAACTACCCACATGGAAATTTCGCGCGTGGAATGCCTTAGAGCAAGAGGAAGGTCTCGTGCACGGTCGCACACACCAATTGCAGCCTCAAGGCAAGCTGACTTAACGGATACTCCGGCATGTCGCACACCGGGCCGCCGACTCCAAAGATCATGTTGTCCGGCATGATGGATCGCGCATCCATCTCTTCCCTCCAACGAAAAAAATCGCAGGATTTGTGTCGGGCCAGAAGCATCATCTGCCAGCCAGGGCCCGGACATCAACTGCATGGCAGTCTCCGCGTCTTGGGTAGCTCTCAAGGCGACACTGTAGGAAATGACCTCCCGCATTGCTGCCGAGATCGGGTCCATTCAACCACCATGGAGAGCGCTAAAGACACTGCTAAAGCAGGCCGGCGATACATCCATTGGTATGCCACTGGATCGCATGTCCTGCTGCAGACATTAAACATTCTGATAGTCCATTCGTCAAGGGCCGATTGCCGAGAAACCCCAGCGACAGCCGCTTGGCATTAACAACAGAATCCAGGGCCCGCCAGAGAAAAAAACAACGAACTTGCAAACATCAGGATGAGTCGTAGGCGTCGACAAAATCGCAAGCTTCCACCACAGGATCCCTTTACATGTAGCCGCCGATCACATCCGATGCCTTTTTCTGCTACGTGCGACTCCGGACATGATGACATCCGCACATGTGGGAGAGGGCACAAGGCTGCTAAGCCAGTGAGACCTTTTTTTAAGTTCAAAATCTCGCAGTGAATTCCTGTACACTTGACAAACGAACACCGAACCCAGTTGGGCTGCTGCGCTGTCACGTTGAGAGTGCGTCTTCAGGGTTTCGTGTTCATCTCTGCATTTACCTATGATGGCCGTGAAACTTGGACAAACACAGGACCACCTGCCCTGATTACAGAGCAGGCAGCCAAGTCGTTAGCAATTATTTCATCTTCGCATTTGCGAACACACGGACATCCTATCCCGCACCACGCGGCCATGCGAAGAGAGCTCGTTTCTGCCCGAAAGGCTACCCTTGCCTGATTCCTGGTCCTACTGAAGCTTGGCCTGCGCTGTGCGCAAGTGAAACATGCTCAGGATCGCGCATCCTTGCCTTAGCTGTTGGGATGCCGGCAGCTTAGGACAACGTATTCAACCTTCAAAAAGGCTGATCCCACCGTAATTGGCAGACCCTTGGTTGCTACACCTCGAAGATCTCCGGAGCAGACAAAAAGAAAATGAACTTCCCATGCCTGGCGGCTGTTTCGACAGTTTCCCAGAGCTATGGCCAGTTTTCGTGCCTGAGCAACTTCACTGCGCTGGCCAGATGGCTTTGGAAATGTGTTGAAGCAGTTGAAGGACTCAGCTCCAAGCAGCATCGAGCACCTGCTTCGTCTCTGAGAGTGTCGGCCTCGCCATTCCACTCTGAAGCCTCAGGGGTAAACCAAATCAGATATAGTTTTCGTCTCTGACTAGTTTTCCTTACCTGTTCCTCCTCCTCATCCTTCTCCTCGTCCTTGCGCTGTCGCCGCGGCCTCCACCGCCTTCGCCACCGCCACCGCCGTGATCGGCAAGCTTATCATCATCATCATCATCATCATCAAGATCAACTGGCTTTGATCTCACCAGACAGCTGACACCTCCTTCTTCTGCTGACAGGACATAGTAGCCGCGATGACAGGTTTCTGGGGCTCGGATGCCGGGCACTCGCTCTTGCCAACACACGGCTCCGAAGAAGAATCTGAGAATAAATCGAGGATACTCTGGCAGCATAGTCTTGGACAGTTGTGATGCCCGTGATTTTCGGGCCAACCCCTGGTCTCAAGAAGCCTCGTCATCTGGACTTGTCCTAAACTCCTAAACCCTAGACCAATTGGGATGCTGGCTTCGGCAGTGATACGCTGCCGGCCGCAGAGCCTGCGTACCAGTCCTGTCAATCTGCCAGAAATTGCCCTACTCGGAAGTGACTGTGCATTTTGTCATTCAGCTGCCCTGGTTTATTCTTTCATATCGTGTATACAAACATGAATAGACTCGTGTATACACACATGAAAAGAAACATACATGCATCTATCAATCGAAGACTAGTGGATCACCAGCAAAAGCAGCAGCAACGCCTCCGTCAGCAGCAGCAGCAGCAGCAGCAGCAGAAAGCAAGCATACCGGCATACCGGCAGCATCAACACAGCAAAATCCTGTACCGATCGCGACAACGATAACGACCCATACCACCAGAACTGTCCTAGAAGACCGACAACGGATGAAACTGGCACCACCCTCGCACCCACCCTCGGCACCCACCCTCTTGGGCCACCCTACGAAGTGGCTCGTGACTGTGGATGGTTGCCAGAGATCGTCACCACCGTTTACACTGCAAACGCCTCGGCCTTCTGCTGCGTCATGCGATTCCGCTGGAGTGGCCTGATACGGTTAAGGGTTCAGGGTTTAGGGTTATGGGGGAATTTTCAATTCGGTCGGCATCGAGACTCGCAGTAGTTGAGGTTCAGAGTGACTAGAGGAAACCCGTGCAGAGCTACCCAGTGGCTAAGCTGTTGACTGCAAGTACTTGGCGGAAACGGAGGTGTAGTCCTCACGGAACAACATCGAACATGTCAAACACGAGCAAACGAAACCGTCTGTTCCGATACCTACTGGGAGATGTGCAGGGCTGTCAATGTCGCAGACTTGAGACTGCACTTCGCGAAGTCCTGTCCAGGCACCTTGCCCGGCCCGAGCAAATTCAACCTGAGGGCAGCACACCCCACAGCCCCCCCCCCCCACACCCCACTCCAAAACCTCTCTAAGCCCCTGTAGAATATAGTATAAAATACTATTTATAAAAAAGAATATATAATATATAATATATAA